ACGTCCCGCCGCTCCGCGCCGCCGACGCGGCGGATCGATACGGCGCGCGGCGGCGTACTAGGCACCGTGCCACCAGTGCGTCCGCACTAGCCGCTAGCCGCGCGACGGTTGAACTAAAATTGCGTGTCTCGATAATCGGCGTGTTTTCGGCGTTGATTCTGACGATGAGCGGACTTGCCAGTTGCTGCCGTCGACGCTCGAAGTACTGTTACCTGCGTGAGTGACTCAGCTATCATTCTCCCGAGGAATTTCGCACGGGTAGGAGAAGTGATTGTGCTCCGGGAGCGAGCTTGTCAGTCTTGTCACCGTGCTTCGTGCTGATTTCGGAACGCACTCGTTTCAGTGATTGGCATCCCTGCTTCCTCGTTTCGCGGACCGCGGGAATAATTGCTACGCGAGTACGCGCCGTGTGTGTTCAACAATTTACGAGTGTATAAGAGGTGTCTGTCGGAATAATGAATAACGTGTCGCGCGAATCGCTCACTCGAAACATCGAGGCGAAGATATGTGAACGGCAATTGTGAACGATGTGCAGTTTCGCTGTGACATTCGCGGGTGATAGTCGCTCGTCCCGCCGTCGCTCTGGACTCGCGAATCGCGAATGTGCGCATTCATTTATCTCGCGTCGTGCTTCGAACGCTGTGTGCCGGAATTGTCGTGTCGTGTGATTTATCTCCGATTCTCTTCGTAGGGAAAAAGAGGGCTGAGTGACAGTGTCGTATCGAGTGATTCGAGTAACGGAACGCCGTGATACATCGCGCTCGTTTCGTGAATGCTTCATAATCTCCATGTATATCTCGCGTCGCGTAAATTAGCGACCGGCAGTCACGATTCTTCGTTGTTCATATTAATAATGCGGTTTTACTATCGCGAGATACCGTACGTGCTGTGAGTGTGATATTTAATTTCAATAGCGTATCTTTGATTAACCAAGTGCGTGCCTCTGTTAACCGTCTCGACTTGCGTAGTATCGCGCCAAGTTGCCGACACCTTGGAACATTTTGTCGCATTAACATTAATAACGCGCGGTGATGAACGCGGAACGAATCGGAGCACGCGGCGTCGCGACTCCTTCAAATTTGCACGAAAAATTGTTACCTAGCTGCTTTTATATTACAGAGTAAAGATATACTTCCTTCCCACGGGTACGACCTTGGCGAGGTGGGAAGGCTCAGTACTCAGTAAGAGGATTTTACCCAAGCAAAACTCTTGTTCTGCTTGGATAAGAATCCAAAGACGGGGAAGCTAACGTACCCTCGCGTCCGCCGATTTAATTGAATAAACGAACCGCAGCCGGTTCGTCGCGTTTGCTTCGGGAGTGCCGTTCAAGTAATCGGACTAGAGAACTTTTTTAAACGGGAGTGCCGTACAGTATCGCGCGAGAAAGACTTTTAATGAAATTAGTCCGCGCGCGATTGTAATTTATTATCCGCGAGTGTTTCTCGCGAGTGTCCTGTGCGGTGAGAGGAGGAAGCCTGACGTCCTGAGAGGAGGAGGAGGTCTGAGAGAGACATCGGGCACCGGCGGAGCAACCTTGGGGTAAGTATCATCTCTTAGCTATACATATAAAATTGATAATTTGTTTCCATTTATTCGAAGTGTTTAATTTTAATTTCGATAAGTTAAAAGTAATTGAGAGAGAGAGAGAGAGAGAGAGAGAGAGAGAAGAAAGAGAAGTTATCTAAAATTCTATGCTTGTAAAGATCTTCGATAAACAGATAAATTGTATTGCTAAATATTTTATTGAAAGACGAATTAGAGACGCGTAAGAATCAACTTTTCAAATGTTAATAATTTTGAGCGCTTTTTTAATTTAAATCTTATGTTTGTATGTTACAGTATCACCGTAGCTACGTGGCTGCATAACTCCGCCCGTTGCGCATCGAATCGGTGAGTCAATAAATAATTTTTTTATTGAGGTAACGAATCTACGAATATATAATTAAATATAGAGCAATAATATATCTCGGTACATGCCGATTTACAATAATTTGTAGTATGAAAATATTACATTTCGTAGATCCATTGCCTTAAAATGGATGGGCTAAAATTGATTATGGGAAATATTTAATCTTGGTATCATTTGTATATTGTTGCATTTGCTGATTGTTATTGATTTATTGTGCGATTGTGCTTGAGGAAATACTCGCACACTTCGCACGCACCGAGCTCGCGAAGAACTCATTAAATTATGTTAACGAACTGCCGCGTTTTATATAAATTACTTTTGAATAAAGTTTTTAAGTACATAAATTAAATTTTTGAATTTTTATTACATAGATCAATTCTGTTTAAAACTAGAATAAATAATAAATATTTTAGAAACACAAGAGAAACAAAAAGTAAAATAATTCTCTAATAATTAAAGTAATGATTTTTTAAATAAAATTTTTTTAGATTTTTTTGAAAAATTATTTTTGTAATATTATATATATATTTTTTTTTCTTAAACAAAAGAGATAAGTAAAATATTGTGTTAGAGTTAGATGTTATAAGAAAAAGTATTTGTAGATAGGGAAAAATTATGAGTTAGGATGTGTTTTATTTATACTTACCCATTTATTCACTTCTATATATTTAACCAAGATTAAATATTTATAAATCGATGCAAGAAAGCAATATATAGATATATTTAGAATTTATTAGATAGAAAACGTGATAAAATTGTTATTTATTACTAAAATTTATTTTAACAAAGCATCGATTTTACCCTAATTTTTTGTAGCCTATCCATCTATTTTTAATTGAAAAATTGGTTTTATGCTAGATAAAGTCAAGTTATATGACGTGAGATTTTAAATATTCTGTCGAGATACTGAAAATTTAAATTATTTCAGAACTGATGATATAGTACAATTATTCAGTTTTGCAATAATAAATAACTACGTTATATAAAAAATAATTTAGATAGAAAGTGACAGAAAAATATAACGAGATACATTATCGATAATCGTAAAATAAAGATTTGCATATATATCATTTAATTATTTAATTATTTAATTATAACAATGCGTTTATTGATTAATTATAATATCAATCGTGCGGGAAGTTTCTTTTTTTCGGATCTCACGTCATTTATTCTGTATCTATATTTTATTTGATACATTTTCGAGATGCGTACCTACCTCATGAACAACATGCATAATAACGCATCTTTGTGTTTTCGCGGTCGGTTTTCGTGGTCGGTTTTTCGAGAAATTTTTCATTATTAATTTTTTAATTTTGTCTACATTATAAATTCTAATTTTTCGCGGGATATAATTGAGATATTCATAGAACGCGAAGTAACATTTTTTTCTGTACTTGATTACAATTTTAAATTAAAAGAACGGGTCACAAAAAGAAACGGATAATCAATATTCTCAAGTAAATAACGGAATTAATAATATAGAAATATTTTTTATCAACCTTGTGCAGTCATTTTATAAATTAATATTTTTTGGTAAATTAACATCTCTTGTGCATTTTTTGATACGATCAATGCTCGCGTGTAATTCGAATCGTATTCGAACGTATACATATAATATTACTTGTCGACGATAATAATGATCCGACACTGGAAGGAATTTTCTCCTTTCTTCTGAAGAGGAAATACAGTTGGAACGCGCGGTAGCGGTGTGAGTGATATTTAATTTCACATACATACAACTTAATGGTATAACAATATTATTCTCAAGATCTGCAATGCTGTATATATATATATATATATATGTATATATTTCTAAAAATGTAAACGTGAATATAAAACACGATTTAACGATGTCACAACATACGCGCTTACAACATTTGTCTACAAAACATCTTACCTTGTCGTTGAGAGCAGCTACTTTTCCCCTCATTTCGCTTCTTTCTCTTTGAACAGTTTGCAATTGACGCAATAGTTCTTCGTCTTTAGCCGCGCCGTCTTCTGGTGGCCATGTAGACAATCTTAATTGCGATTCTAAAGCTGATCGCTGTACCTCATTATTAGCTAGCTCGTTCTCGGCATTCGAGAGTTGTTTCTGCAGCTGAAATAAAATACATGTCGATTTATAGTTGGGGAGAGGGAGGAGCTTCCATTAGCGGACTCTTACCTGCTTGAGTTTTTCATTGTTACTTTGAGAGGAAGTAGTGATCTCCATTACGTTGTGTCGTAACAAATTTATTTCACTCTTAAGTTCGCTTTCCGTAGCCGATGCTTTTTCTAATGATAGTTTCAATTGTTCTATAGTAGATTTTAACGAAGCGCAACGTTCCTCTAAACTTGCTGTGGTACGGCTTTGTGTGTCAAAGCGGTCTTGCAGTTTCTAAAAAGAACAGCGTTCATGAAATTTATGTTTAAATTCCAAAAACCCTCTTTTCCTCGAAAATATATTGTCTTCGTGGATTGACATTATTAATATATTGATTCGAATATTAACACTTTTCTCAAAATATAGATTGTTGTTTTAGTAATCG